GTCGTCGTCGTCGTCGGTGTTGTCGGTGGCGGCGGCGGTGGCGGCATTGCTGGTACTGCTAATGGTGGTGACGGGAGTGTTCATGCCGTTGAGATGCTGGTGCAGTGCCAACACCGGATCTGGTGATGGAGGCGGGGGCGGGGTGGAGAGTCACGGTTGTCGTCGCGGCCGTATGTAGCAGCTGTTAAAGAATGCGATCGGAATAGTAGACAGAGCCTAGGATACATGGGGCGCTGTTTCTGGAGAGTTTCCAGGATTATGTGGGGTGATATGCTGAATGTCGGAATTTGTGGAGATTGTGAGTGTATGTGAGGGTTATATAATCTTGGCTGGGAGAAAGCGAAGCAAGAGTTAGAGCAGTCGTAAGCGCAAAAATGAGCATTGCAACTTCATTAGTTACTTCTATTGACTGGGAACCAGGTTTGCCATTGCCTTTGTGCTGATGGGATCCTTTTGTGCGGTCTTCCTTGGCAAGGCTGCATCCTGGACACAGAGTAGGAGGCTACTCGGGTTCGTTGAGTTCTACCTGGTGATCTTCGGGTGCATCGCTGGTTACGGCACCTGCATGTTGATCGGGATTCCCTTCACGGTGCTGCAGCAGATTCTTCCATTCATCTTGGTCGGCATTGGTATCGACGATGCTTTCGTGATCTCCGGAGCCTTTGATGCCATCGACCCCTCTTTGAGTATTCCGGACCGGATCGAGAAGGCAATTCAGCGAGTTGGTGTCTCTATCACTTTGACCAAGGTGACCTCAATCGCCTCTTTCCTTCTTGGAGCAACCTGCGTGTTCCCCTCAGTTCAGTTTTTCTGTGTCTATGCCTCATGCTCCGTCTTCTACATCTGGCTTCTCCACTGCACTACATTCTGTGCGCTCCTGGCCCTTGATGCCCGCCGTGCCGGCGCGGAGCCTCCTCGCCTGGACCCGTGCTTCTGCATCGGGGCCAAGGCCTCCTGCATGCCAAACAAGACCTCTGAGGCCCCATCGTTCCTGGAAACCGCTCTTGTGGCCATGATCCGATTCCTGACAAGCCACCCAGCCATTTCCATCGCGTGCATCCTCATCTTCCTTGCAGTGGCAGCAGTGTCTGCTTGGCAGGTCAGCCTCGGGCTTAGCACTGACTTTGACATCATGGACCTGTCGCCCGACCAGAGCTACCTGCGCGACTACTACAACCAGGAGAGGGTCCACTTCGGCGGCCTCTCTGCCGGTGGCCTGGCGCTTCCCTGCGGGTATTATGTCATGGACCAGGACTTCAGCTCCATGGCAGTGCAGCGCCACTTGGAGGAGGTGGGAGCGGGGCTGATCGCGCTGACCAACGTCAATTCTGATCGTGGTCTGCAGTCTTGGCACTCCGTCTTTACGTATTGGGCCGTGCAGAACAAGGGTTCGTTGGCCTCTTTGCCTGACAGTGCTTTCACGGCAGTCGACACTAACCGCACGGGCTGCGAGGCCGGCTTGCCTTCCGGGGTCACGACCTGCACCAGCTTTCTGGTGACTGGCACAACCTTCGTCACCGCTGTGCAGGAGTTCCTCCAAACCAACTGGGGACGCGCCTTTGAAAACGATGTGGTGGTCCAGAACGGGCAGATCAAGGTGGCCCGTCTCCGTGCCACTCACATCGACACTTCGAACAGCAAGGAGCAAATCGCGGTCCTCGAGGAGGCAGAAGCCTTTACCAAGCGGTGGCAAAGTGTTTTGCCTGGAAGCTTCATGAACGCCCAGGCCTACATCTTCTTTGACCAGTACCGGATCATCGTGGAGCAGATGACTGTGAGCATTGGGCTCTGTCTTGCGGCTGTGCTTCTCATCAGTGCGCTGGTCCTGGCTCATCCCCTTTCGGTGTTGGTGGTGCTCCTTGTGCTCGCCCTTGTGTTCATGGACTTGATGGGCAACATCGTACTTTGGGGGCTGGCCTTGAACTCCATTTCGATGATCAACCTAGCACCTAGACCCAGAGAATCAATGAGAATCATTGGTCTTTTTAGACGGTTTGTTTTAGAGGATTTTTATGGCCATGGCTTGAGCATTCCCCAAACCCCAAACCCTAAACCCCAAACCCTAAACCTTAAACCCTACAACCTAAACCCTAGCGGAGAAAAGGTCCGGTAAAAAAAAACAAACTAAAACCTAAACCCTGAAAACCTAAACCCTAGAACCTACACCCTAAACCTTTGGGGTCCAGGTCATGGCTGTCGGACTGGTGGTGGACTACTCCATGCACATGGCGCATAGCTTTGGGCTCCAGGATCCTTCCTTGCCCAGACCCAAGCGGGCGGAGCTCGCCATGAAGGAGGGTTTAGGGTTTAGGGCTTAGGGTTTAGGGTTTGAGGGTTTAGTTTTTAAGGCTTCGGGTTTAGGGTTTAAGGCTTCGGGTTTGGGGTTTAAGGCTTCGGGTTTGGGGCTTAGGGTTTAGAGTTTAGGGGGAAAACCTGCAAGGGCCCTTGCACCAACCCACCAACCCTACGGTGGACATTAAAAGTCTTGCACAGCCTTACATGGCTAAGCCCTGGGAATTCTGGCTATTCTAGTATACCAAGGTCATGCAGGATTTTTCGTCTCAGCGGTAGTGTCCTTTAAGGGTTCAGGATCCATAGCATCCGTTTTTGGGGCTTAGGACTGTTAAGGCCTCACCCTAAGCCCTGAATCCTAAACCCGAAAGCCTAAACCCCAAAACCCCTAAACCCTAATTTTTTGGAGGAGATGGGGCAGCCCATCTTCCTCGGTGTTAGCACGACCTTCTTGGCAATCCTTCCTCTGGCCTTCTCATCCAGCCAGGCTTCGGGTTACTACTATAGTATATTGGGGTTATCTAGGGGATGGTGGAAAAGAAAATGGAAACTACTAGTGTATTGGGGTTATATAGGGGATGATGGAAAAGAAAATGGAAACTGCTATAGTATATTAGCTTCAGCGTTTGGGGTTAAGGGGTCAGGGTTTAGGGCTTAGGTTTGAATTAGGGCTCGGGTTTAGCATTTAGGGTTTTTGGTGGCTTGATGTCACCAGTCTTAACATACGCAGTTGTCAAGCATGTGTTTCCTTTTTAAATTTTGCGTGTGCGGAATATGAGGGGCTGCAGTCTACTGGGAACCCAAGAAGGAACCACCATTTTGATAACCTACCATGTGAGAGTTTCCCACACATGGTGTCTCCTCCACGCACTTCCTATGGTGTAGGGGCCTCTCAAAATGGATGCCTACCTTTTGGAAACCCCGGCACACAAATGCCAATAGTAGTAATACCAGTAGACAATTTCACTCTAGAAGCAGTGCTAGGGATGTCCGGTCAGGAAAGCGGCGGACTCTAATATTCCTGCATGACCCTAAGTACCTTATACTTTGGGAATTATGGTGTACCTGTAGTATAGTGCAGGATTTTCAGTATCAGCAGTAGAAGCAGTCACCAGTAGTAGCATCAGCTGTAGTACTACTGACCATCCCAACCTGTGAATGCTTGGGCTAGAGCCTCACCCAAAAACGGTAACCACAAGGGGTACGGGTAATTTCATTATTGTCTTGACGTTTTCCTTTGATGCCACACCGGCTGGGTGGGCCCTAACTCAGCCTTTGCCACATGATTTATGGAAACAATATACTATTCCTTATAAACTTATGAGCCCTATACGCCTATACGCAATCCCAGTTGCCATTTTATTTTCCATGTTCCATTTTCCGTTTGATTCTGCATGATCGGGGTAACATTCCTAAAGCCACAACCCAAATCCCCGCTTTCATGCAATCAGGCCTTCCGCGTCTTCTTTAAGATGTTCTTCGGCATTGTGGTGGCGGGCGGTTCGCACGGTTTGATCTTCCTTCCCCTTTGCATGTCCGTGCTTGGACCCAGTGTGGCCGCCAAGTCCACTAGCGTGGAGAACATCTCAAACCTGGACGAAGAGGCAGCAGCTGGAAAGGTGGCAGAGACTAAGTAGCTTCAGGGACTCCTTTAACTTGAGGTGTCAACGTAAAGCGATGACACCTTCTTCATCGACTGTTGCACGCAAAGCGAGCAACCTGTCAATTTGCTTACTTCTCTCGCGCCATCCTCTAAGTCGTCGGCTCGGCGACCTCATCTTTCCCCTCCCTTCTGCTTGGCACTACCCTACCCCACCGAGACTTGCTGACTTGCAGTTGAGAAGGCGCAGCGGGTGGAAAGATGTGCTTGATGGCAACTTTTTGGGTGCAATCCCAAGGTTGTTCAAGAGTGCCGGGGAAGGCTTATGCTGAGGTTCCGCAACACCATACGGCGTTCAGCCTTCTGGGGTGGAACTTTGGCTGTTGCCCTGATGCAAGCTAGCTGGCTCGCGTCTGGTCAGTGGGACCATCACCTACGCAGCTCCTCCTAGATCATAAAGATTTGCCGGCTAAGGTCGGCGAGTCAACAGGACCCGAGCCAGTTTTTCTGACTTGCACTCAGAGCTGCGACAAGCAGGTCAGGCATTGCTTGGCCAGTAAAGCTCCTAACTACAAGCGGAGACAAAAGGAGCGCGAGCGTCCACTCCGATAGATAAGTGATTGAACCATGAAGTCCTGCAATCAAGCCTAAACCCTAAACCCTAAACCCTAAACCGGGCATTGTTGTAGTGGCACGGATTTTACGCAAAATCATGCCTTGGGCTTCTCTGCAGAGCTCGGTAGCGCGACCCTCGCGCCTTGTGAGGACAAGGAGACTGGCTTGAATCACCTGGAGCAAGTCGCAGGCACTGTCTTATATTGGGGTTATATAGGGTTCTATAGGGGTTATATAGGGGTTATATAGGGGTTATATAGGGGTTATATTGCGGATATATTGGGGTTATATTGGGGTTACGTTTTGTAAATATTGTCCCCTTATAATGGAAAATCAA